ACTAGATACTTCTCTAGATTATTCTATATCTTTAGAGCTTTTAGAAAATTATTAATATAAATTTTTCTTATTATTATATTATTCGAAGTATTTTATTCTAGATATACTTTTAATTAATCTACTATTATAATTATAATATATATAGTTTTATAATCGAATCTCTTCTTATAATTCTCTAGTTAATTAGGCCAGAGAAATCCTAAAAGAAATTCTAAGTAATTAATCTAATTCGATTTATTTATTATTTATAGTAATATACTTATTATAATAATTATATTATTACTAGCTTTATCTAGATCTCTATTCTAATTATTTTTCTTATATAAGTATATTTAAATTAGTTTATTTCTAGTTTTAATAATTAGTTTCTTTATTTATTTCTTTTTAGTTCTATTATTTAATCTTTTATTTTAGCTAAACTATTTATTTTTTCTATAAAAAATCCTTCTATTTCTATTAAACTATCTGCTTGTTCTATAAATAAGCTTCTTGCTTTACTTATAGAAGCTATTAGTAAATCTTATTACTAGTTCTAAAGAAATTCTTCTCTGCTTTTATTAGTTTAATATATATCTCTAATAGTTCCGGTATACTTTATTATATCTTTCTTTATAGTACTAAGCCTTCTTAAAACCTTAATATCTTTATTTCTACTATTTCTAGACTCTAGTATACTTTCTGGCTTTAAAGTACTTTATAGAGTTATAAGTTCTATTTCTAGTAAAGCTATAAAGCTCTTTACTTCCGAGTTATAACTTATTAGTATATTTATAGACTCTTTTAATTATTAGTTTATTTATTTATTACTTTCTAATTCAGAATTATTTTCTATTTATTCTAATAAGCTATTATATTATAATTTCTTATTTTTAAAGACTAATTTAGTATTCTAAATCTTATTCTCTAGAAGCAGTTCTATTATATTCTTTATAATCTCTATATTATAGCCTTTAGTATATTTATAATTCTTTTTATAAAGAATATTTTTATTAAATATAATATTATATATAATAATTACTTTATTAAATACAGGAACCCAGATTTTATAAATATTAGATATAATATATTTAACTAAATATCTAATATACTCGTATAATATAACTTTAAATACTTTCTTATTTCGTTTTACTTTATAGTTCTTAATTATTAAATATACTCTAGAACTATATATATAAATTCTATTTTAATTAGGCCTAAAATTAACTATTATTTATATTATAAATTCTAGGTTATACTAATAGAAATAATTATAGAACTATAAATCAAATACTTTATTTAATGTTTTCTAGTAATTTATATATAAAGAACTCTAATTATATAAATAAATTACAGTTATAGAGCTCTCTAGCTATAGTTTTTCAAATAAATTAGCTATTAAATATATTATAATAGCCTTATTTATAATCTTTTGCTCTATTTATTTAATATTATTATTTGGCTTATATATATATAAAAAAGAAAGCTCGATTTTAATACTTTATTTCTTTATTTAGATCTAATAAACTAATATTTCTTAAATTATAATAACTACTTTCTTCTAATTATACTTAATATAAGTAATTAAAAGATTATATTATTTATATATCTATTACTTAAAATCTCTAATTATATTAAATACTAGTAAACTTTCTTTATTTAATAAAAAATATCTAAAGAGCTTTTTACTAAATTCGTTTTTAATTATTAGAATCTAGTTTAAATTATTATAACTATTTAGGTAATTAAATAAGTCTTATAAAATCTTCTAAAATAATTAAATAAACTTTCTTTTAGTTAGCTTATATAAGATTACTTATCTAATATATATCTAAATATAAAATTCATATATAATCTTTATTAGTTTATTAATTTTAATATTATATATATAATTAATAAGCTTTTATAGAGCTTTATAAGCTAAATACCCTGCTTTTATATATTATTTTTCTTCTAAATTACTTCTTAGCTTGAGATATTTCCTTAATCTTTTATACTAAGCTCTAATTAAATATTTAAGTATTAGAAATATAAGTATATTACTAATACTAGTAAGAATTTTAAATAAAATATTAAAGTAAATAGAAAATAGCTTATATTTAAGAAAAACTAAATTAAATCTATATTTTAATTATATTAATACTATATTCTCTTTATAATCTTTTAATCTAATTATAAGATTATATTTATAATACTAAGTTTTCTTTTTTATTAAGCAAGTTTTAGAAATAATATTTGTATGAAATTCTTTAATAACTATAATATTATAAAGAATTAAATCTTTAGTATATAGTTCTATAAGTCTATTAACTATGTTTTTAATTATATAAGTACTATATCTAGTAATTAGAAGACTAGTATGGGAGGGAAACTGTAATAAGACAAAAACCCATATAAAGTATACTAGAGCGCAAAACGTGACTTGATAGCAAAATAACAAATCAAAAGCGTAAACAGTAAAGCATAAATAGTATATAGTATACAAAAGCTCAATTAATTGAATACTCATAAAGGATTGTTGTCTAAGTCTACAGAAAAACCAGCTTTCTTATGTGATTTCCGCAAGTCACGTGCAAAAGGCTGCGGCCTTTGCCATGTGACCTAAACCTCAAAACCGCCAAAACAACACGATTTTTGACGAGTACGGCCTGCCGTACCACACTAGTTATTTCTATTTCTATATAATTATTAATTTTTACTTTAATAAAAGTACTAGTATTAATTAAATTCTTACTATTAACTAGATATATAATATTATAATTATCTAGTAAAGTACTTTAAGAAAGTAAATATCTTAAGAAATTAAGTATTATATAAATCTTTTAATCTAGACTCTAAATTATAAATATAGAATTTATTAAAATAGTATTAAAGTTTCTAGAAAATTAAATTCCGGATATTTTAGGCTTCTTTTTAGAACTAATACCAGATATTAGCTTCTCTATAGCTTGTTTACTAGTAATTTTTATACTATATTTCTCTTCTAATTAAGGTTTCAGATCTTTCTAATACTTAATTAAGATTCTTTCTCGGATTTTTCTAATCTATTTCTTATTAGGCTTAAATTTTATTTAAGTTTTATTTAATCTAGTAATTATAATTTCTATAATAATATAGCTAAATAGATTTTACTTATACTTATAGATTTTAGAACTCTTATAAAGATACTTATAATATTTATACTTGTTCGAATTAGGTTTACTATCTAGTTCTTTACTAGTTTAATTCCCGAATATAATAAAGATTATAGAAGCTTCTAAATATTTAGTATTCTGGTTTTCTAAAATAATCTAATTAAATATCTAGCTATACTATTCGAGTATAAGAATTAGAAGCTCTAACTTGTTTTTACTATATAGATTATTAAGCTATTTTATTATTTAAATTAATACGAGTTTCTATTAAAAGGCTATTAAGAACTTAATTATTACTAGAGTATCTTTAATTTCGGGGATTTTAAGAGCTCTAATATAATTAAGTATTTTCTTCTAATTAGTAAACTAGTACTTTAAGCTTACTTTTTCTTTATTTATTTATAATAGAACCGAGCTATATACTTTCCGAGTAGTACTAATTTGTACTATATTTATAGAACTATATTTTATTAATAATACTTTAAAAACCTTATAAATAAAGCTTTATTTACTTTTTTTAAATCCTAAAGTAAAGTTTATAAAAATCTCTATATTAACTATTTAATAAAGCTACTATCGAATTATATAATAGTATATTAGCTTATTTGTTTAGTTTAGTTTCTTGATCTTATAGTTCTATAAAAGTATCGAATAATAATCTCTAATATTCCCGAATATTATAGACTATAGAAATACTAGTTTTAATTCTTTCTTAATTATAGATTAAGTATCTTTATTCTAATTTTCTGTATTAACTTAGTATCTAGTATAGTAATTCTCTATTTCCTTTAGTATAAGCTTATTAATTATAGGGAGAGGCCTGGAAATAGCTACTATATTTGTTTTAATTACTTTATTATTAAATAGATTAATCTTATTTCAGATACCCTCATATCCCGCTTCCTTCAGGTATATAAACTACCCTAAACGCTTTAATAGTTGGCATTAATCAACCCCTGGACAAGTCGAGGCGGTTCAGGCGCTTGTTCTTCGCGGCACTCTATGTCGAGAAGCGAGCTGTTACTTCTTTCTCTAGGTTCTTATTTGTGGTTTCTCGCTGCTACCCTATTTGCTAGTTGCCAAATCACATGACTTTAGCCCACGCCAGACCATGGTGCCAGGCCCTATATATATATAGCTTCCATACCCCCTCTTAGAACTGCAATCGAGTCCTCCTTTATCAATCAGCACTATTCTCTAGGTATGGGACGTTATGTGAAGTTAATTCTTGATGCAAGGCTCTCTGGCATTATAATACGATGCCAAGTGACAGCAAAAGATCTTTTGGCAACAAAAGCCCGTTTATATCCTCTATACTTCCGAAGCCTTTCTCTTTTCTTTGTATGAAAGATCCCAGGTACTTATGAACCTTACTAAACTACATCAGTATCTGCATCAAAACTTCTCACCGCTTGAGAAGATGCACCCTCTTCTAGTCTTGGTGTTGAAGCCGTACAGAGTTCTGAAGAATAACAAGCTATACCCGTCGTCTATACCTAGAACTCTCAGATCAAGGCAACATGATTGCAGGCTTCGTATCTTGTCATCTGACTATCTCAAGCGGGCCTTTTATAATTTATAAAACTGCAGATCTGTTCTCCACAGTACTCTTCCCGTAGTGTAAATACCACTGTAGTCATACTCTAATCTCAACTTCGCTGGTCCCAGTTTAGTCTTCAGACGTGAGCAGCGGTCGCTTCAACCCTAGCTAGAGATGAACATGCCGAGCAAAACCTGGGCAAGACTTAAGCATACCTGAGAATACCTGAGGCGAGCCTGATCACAGTCCGAGCTAGCCTGGGCACCTTGAGCAAGATTTACCACATCGTCTAGTGTTAACTGCGGCCACACTGAAACCATCTCGGAATTGGGGAACTAAGATTGCGTCAGCTAGCGTGTTGCTGGCCACTTCGTGGTTCGAAACGCCGCTATTATTGTTGACTTCATCTTATAATAGATATGTTTTAATAATAATCCTTTCTTGTCACCCAAAACAGAATCGTGGGGCTTTCGTGGGAACGCGGCAATATCTTTGAGGTAGTTGATTTCGTTGCGAATTTTCCTGAGAATTTCCGGGTTTGGGGGTATACATTCTGCTTTATATTCTAACAGAATCTCGACAATACCGACTTTCTTCTTGTTGACTGCAATAGACAGCGGCGAATGGCCGCTGTTATTTAAAGCATTCTTGTTGCAACCCGCTTTGAGTAACTCCTTGGCCATAGCTTCCATCCCAAGAAGTGATGCGAAATGAAGGGCGGTATCTCCGTTACTGTCGCCGATGTCGAACCCTCTACTCTCCTTCACCTTCTGGGAGTCGAGAAGCTCGCGCATGACTGTTTTGCTGCCAACTCGTACGGCGTAGTGAAAGGCGCACCAACCATTGTCATCTTTTGCCAAAGGATCCTTTACACTCTGCAATAGTCTAGCGACGATTTTGTAGTTCTTTTCCTTGATCGCGGTGATAATAGCTGAGAGATCTGATCTCTTAACAGTAGCAACCTCTTCATCCATTGGTAGATCGATGTCCCACTGGCTTGCGAGATGTTTTAACCAGCTTTCCGTCTCGAAGTCAGAACGTGTCGTTATATCAGCCGATTCTGACGCAGTCGAGCCCCATGACTTGGCTGAGGGATTTGAGGTATTCGAGGCAGCCCAGCCACTAGACCCTGTTCGGCTATATAGTGGATGATCACTAGTCATTTGTTCACATAAGCGCTTGTTCACATCATGTGTAACATCTCTGCCATCGATTGCCACATGCCTGGAGTTGGTGAGCGTCTACTGTACTTAAAATTGGAGCCGCAAACGTACGTTAGAATCTCAGCAAGTAGGATCTTGATAGCCTCCACGCGATCCGTAATCTCGTTGATTCCGTTTTTAACAATTATTTTACCTTTATGTTCGAAAACCCAATAGTGCATTACAAGCATAAGACTCGGGCAGTCGTTAGGCCTTTGATATTTCTCCTGGCAAGTGAATAGTTGTTTCAGAATCTTCTCGGTTTCTTCAATCGCCTCTTTCATGGGTACCAAGGCGATTGATTCCATTTCCGTGCGGTTCTCCGACCATTTGATTGTCTCTGCGATGCGTTGGAGAGAATCAAGGGTCCTTTGAAACAGCTTGAGTTTCGACTGGAGTTCGACCAAGCCTATTTTTCACCACCTGGTCACCAAACATCTCTATAACAGTATCGATTCGGTCATAGAAATTGTGAGCTTGCGCACTTTCGTGGTAATCCTTGCCCGCTTTCTTGTTCTGATCTATGTAGTTTACAATCTCTGAAGAGGGTCAGCGCTCACGGGTTTTCCAGAGCCGAGAGGCGAGGAGTATGATTATCTTACTCGTGATGTATATAGAAAATTGCATAGCAGCGGCTACCACGCCGACTATGTCAAACGCGGACATTGGAATCGATTGGCTTTCTGGGTCTTTCGCTTGAGTGTGGGAGGATGAAAGCAGATACCGAAATTGTTTCGAGCGAGAAGTATCTTGTAAGGAGAGCATCGAGCTTGCCAAAGGCAAAGGCTATGGCCCAGGTCTACGGAGGAAGGGTGACGGAGAGCACCAAAAGGGCGCATCAAACGCGAACCAGGGAATGGGGGGGCGGGACGGGATGGGATGTGCGAGTGAAAGATGGCCACGAAAGTGAGACACTGAGGCTTTTGGGGCTTTGTAAAACATGTTTATCGCAGCTGTACTGGGAACCTTACGTGTGGCGGTTGAACGTGATTGCGCCATGCGCTGCTTTTTGACATTTTAAGCGATGACCCCAATAATAGCGTCCAATAATCGATGGAAAGTATTTCAATTTGGGATTGAGCAGGGCGCCGCGAGGCACTTCGGCATCTCACTACAAACTTGGCTGCTCTGCCGTGGCCTTCCTCGCCACCACTCGTCCAACATTGGCGGGTTTCCAACGCCAGCATTGGATGACCTCTGGCAGACTGGCTGCTCATACTGCGGTGCTGGCCTTTCGGATTGGTCAATCAGCCTAGGTGAGGCTGACTTCAAACTCCCAGGGCTGTAATTCATTGCCCAAACACCACAGTGGACAGTCGAAGAGTGTCCTGTATTGCCTCCAAATGCACCACAGCTCAACAACTCCGCTGGTCCTCCAACTGAACTCTGCCTCACTAGAGAGCCCTATTTAATAGCTCTCCGAGCAAGCTTCCTGATTTCTTTTGGATTAGCGCTCTTCAGTCGTGTCACTTCTGGGCATGATGAATCCAATCAAACCCTATCTACCCTCAACAGCCCCACCTTCATCACTATCAATGTCGACGTTAGGAAAGCCACAGCTGATAATAGAAAGTCCCGCAGAATCTCGAGCCGCTACGTTCTTATGCTGAACCTCTAGCATGGCTTCGAGGGTCTCAAGTGCAGGCAGCTGACCCTTGACATCATTTGAGTAGCTTGTTGTGATGAATCTTTAGAAAAGCTTTCTTTTTCCATACGGAAGCGGTAATATGAAGCGAATATGGCGTTACGCGCTGCCCTCAGCCTCCAGAAGAACCGCACTTTATTTTCTTTCCATATCCGGAGCCATTCTGCAGAAAAATTAAAGCATATCACTCTCTGCTTTCGTGGCTGTCTGCCTATGAAGAAACCATTGTTTCTCTGCAATTTTTACCTACAAACATCTTCCTATACCTGCCCAGCTTATGATGGCTTCATCCCCCAAAACTTTGCTAGAGGTAAGATATACTCTCAAATTCGCACAATACCAAATCATGTAATCCTATCCAGCTACTTGATCTGTTGTGCGCATTTTGGTGGTACTAAGATCACCATCACCAATTTCAAGTTCACAGCTGGGATGCTGCCCGAAGTTGTTGGGCAGTTTAACACATTTACTCTATTTGGAAGCTAACATAACATGGAAATCTGTCTAGGCGAAGTCTGAGTCTCATCGTGAGCCTCGCAATGATCAACTATCCATACATAGCGACCAAGACTCTCCAGAGGCATTACAACCCGGGAATAGCGTAGGCTTCGTCGCACGAGCAAGTTTATTTGTAGTATCTAACTGAATCCAGGAATCAGCATCGGTTAGTCGTAAATCGAGCGTAGACAACGGCCGGCCTGGGGAGCCCGGGTACCTACCAGAGATCCTCACTGATACATTGGACAAAGACAATCAATTCGAAAGGGACAGCGAGACAGAATTGGCTGAAAAGGTGGGAAGTTACGCGAGGATGGACCTTGAGTTGGCTAAAGACACTGAACTCCTCCAATATGGGGCGCAACTGGCACAAAATGCAAGCAATGCTCTAAGGCGTCCATTCTTCCAAGGCCTCTTGGCGAAGCAGAGATATTATCTCGGAGACAGAGACAAGACAGTCGTAGAACAGGCCCAGATAGGTGGCAAATTGGTCTGCGAGGATGACGCTGGATTTTGGGGGCAATCAAAATATCTCAAGGGGTGTACTCTATGTGCTTGTCTTGCAGGAATTATTCAGTAAGTACGTTAACTCCATTGCCTTGATCGGTCGTGTTAACAACCTTCTTGAGGATGGACTCAGTCAGGTATATTTGAATGGTCAATAGTCCTCTAGACCTTGCTAAACGTCTTGGCAGCTATGAACGGCGCAAACCTGGGTTTATTAGAGGAATTCAATATTTCCAACCAATGGCTCTTTGGGGTTTTGAATGCTGTTCCTTTCTTTGCTGGTGGCCTATTGTGAGCCTTTCAGACTTGTGTCACCATGTTTTGGGTTTCATGCTAATGTTCTACCAGCGCGCCTTTCTTCTCGGATCCATTACAAGAGTATTTTCTTGGACGCCGCGGAGCCATTGCTGGCGCCTGTATTCTCTCAATAGCCGCGACAGTTGGACAATCTTTCTCTACCTCAGTTGGTCAAGTAATAGGTTGTAGGATTATTACTGGATTGACATTGGCTGCAAAGGCATCATCGGCGCCACTTCTTACAGCAGAAGTTGCCCCGAATCATCTCCGCGGTAAGGATTTATTTGCACACAGTTAATATACGACAACTAAGATATATCCAGGAAAACTTCTCGCTACGTGGCAATTGAGTGATGCATTTGGCATCTTTCTAGGGTTCTCATCCAACTTGGCCACTTTAAACATCCATGCTCAAAACAAAACGATCTGGCGAATCCAAATTGCTACGACCATAATACCAACCACAATTCTCCTTTTTCTGGTCTATTTCATGCCTGGTAAGTTCCCCGGCCATTCATTCATGGCCCGGCTTACCTTGATAGAATCTCCAAGGTATCTTATGAAGCGAGGCAGGTAGGTACTACAAATCTGGGTTCACCCCGCTACCATACAACTGACTGCATTGACAGGCACGCAAAGGCCCTTGAATCTTTTACTATGCTTAGGCCATCACCTGTTTCCCGTTTGCTTGCAGCTCGTGACCAGGTAGACGCACACTTCCAATTACAAGCCGAGTGCACTTCCATTCAGAATCGGAAGGACTCCCAGAAACTCGGCGGCGAGCCGAACAAAACTTTGGAACCACCACCAATGGAAAATGAAAATGAAAAACAAACAACTGCTTCCCACAACGGCAAAGGTCCAGAGCTCGAAGAATCTCCCAGCGATGGTGATCTGGAATCTCAACACCCGACCACGCCAGAAAATCCATTATATGTAACGGACGGTCGGAAACGTCGTGTTTTCCCCGAGTTCTTAAAACGAATGAACCAGCTGTTCAGCGATGATAGGTCGAGAAGGGCCCTTGTTTGCGCCTCAACTGCCATGAGCTCCCAGCAACTCTGCGGCGTTAATACGATTGGTAAGCATCACCTCTTCATGAATATTTCAATGAGGTTTTCCTTTCCCACGAGAACTTCCTTATAGGTGAGTCACCACATTAGCTATTGAAGCTGATATCACTGCTCCTTACAGCATTCTTATCCGCGACACTCCTAAGTGGTGTTAATGCCTCCCCTCGATCAGGAGCATGGGTGGGCTTTGGCATCGGACTGTGCAACTTTGTGTAAGAGATCGCCGTACTACGATGTTTTGTCTCTCCAAAACCGATCAACAACTGACCAAAAAAACTATCAATAGCTTCGGAGCACCAGCTCTCTGGCTACTTGACGTAACCGGCCGCGCAACCCTTCTCCTCCTCGGATTTATACCTATGTTCGTCCTAATGTTAATCCTTGCATTCTCCTTCAAAGAAGATGCTGCCGGAGTCCAGGTAGCGCGCGTACCCTTGGTTGCCGTCTTCGGAATCCTGTACATTATCGCGTATTCACCTACGGCCGGGACGTCTCCTTTCGCGATCTCGGCAGAGGTCTTTCCGCTCATTGTAAGAGAAGTAGGGCATTCGTTTGCAGTGGGTGTCAATTTTCTTGGACTTGCGATTGTGCTTTTGGTCTTCCCACCTATGTCAGCGGCGATGGGCGGCTATCGGGGCTCCTTATCACTTTTTGTGAGTCTCTAGCTTTGAATTAGGCCCCTAATGCTAATCCTTCGGAGGCGGCGCTCAATTTGGTTGCGTTCGTGATGTGCTTTCTTTTCGTCCCAGAGACCAAGGGCAGGTATGACTCGCATTCCCCGCTATCTGAAAATCTATACTGATCCAAACGACACTACAGGTCACTTGAGGAGCTCAGATCCATCTTCGATATCCCAACAAGGGAGCATATGAAATATCGTCGTACATACGTGGCGCCGTGGCTATGGAGAAAATTTCCGCATTTCGCGAAGGCTAAGGTGGCTGGGTGGTTCAAGTCAACAGATAGGGAAAAGGCTGATAAATATCAAGTGGTTGATTTTGATATCTGGTACAAAGGCGAGTTGATAAAACGGCGTTCTAAATTATGAGTAGGATAAGCTGGCTAGCCTATTGTGAAACTAGCAAAATAGGAAGAGTGATGAGGTATCTAGGACGGTAATTTGTAGCATTTTCATCTTACGATATTTGCTAAGGGGAACATTACACATTACAGTGGGCTAGAAAGAATTTCAAACTAAGAAAAAGCGAACTAGAGATCCAGCCTTTCGATTTTCCCACCTGCCTCTACTGTTTCTTACAGTGCCCAATAAAACAACGTTTAGCAGTAGACTTCGAGAGGCAGTAATCGCAGAGTCTGCAGCCATACCCTAGAGCTAAAACTCTAGTTTTTTGTTCAGATCTGGCTACTTATTCTCTTCTATCTCAACTGCCGGCTTCACAGGGATCCTCCATTGTCCATTATCTTAGAAGTACCCTTTGAGGACCCGGAAGCACTAGAACATTAGGCTATGCTCAGGGCACTTACCCTTGGCACAGGTAAATAGGCCACTACTTAACTCCGTAGATTAAAACGGAACCAGTCAAAGAAAAATTATTCCCGAGCTTAAAGGTACTGTGAATCAATTTTCTCTCTTTCGTTTCCTATACAGTTAATAAGCTTTCCACTCTTGCTCAGGATCTAATCGCCCCCGGCTTACCCTCAGCTTAATCAAACTCACCTGAGCTGTATAAGCACCCTGGGCAAGATTTATTAAATCGTCACGTGTTTTAACCTCTCGAATTTTAGCCAGCCACACTTAATATAAGCTCCATTCCCACATATTATTTTCGTCAAGTTTGAACGAAGATGCTCAAGGAGCCCAGCCCAAGCAGGTTCCCAGATCCCAGAGGTCAAGTGCTTATCTGTTGCTTGCATGCATAAATTGTCAACAAAGCGTTTTCTCGCAACCTTGTGGTAAGATTGCAAGATGTCATGAAGATCTTGAATAGTATGCTCAATATTGCTCATACGGTGGTTTTCCATGGTCAAATCGAGGCGGGCGACATTACCAGGCCTGTAACTCTGAAAGGATCTTGTTGGCATGGCTTTCTGCCTTCGTTTCTGCCGGCGGTAGCGACTACCAAACCCACTAGAAGGGCTCACTGGCCAACCGCCCAAACTACATAATCGCCCAACCAAAAAATCTTAATATTTAATTAACGCCTTAATAAAATTATAATTCCTATTAAATACTAATACTTTATAATATTCTCGACCCCCTAGCAGCTATATATTACTTTATTACTTTAAGACTATATAGAATTACAAAAATTATGTATTTAATAGCGTTTTTAATATTTTTTTACTAATTTTTTATCTTATTATTTCCACTTCTTACTAATTCCTCTATATCTAATTAAATATCTTATAAAACGTCCTAAATACTTTAATAATAAATAGCTTAGTATAGGGAAGTATTATTATAATTCAGCTTTTAATCTAGTTAGCTAATATAATTACTTGACTAGTATTACTTATATTCCGCTATATCCTATTACCTTCTAGTTATATAACGACACACGTGACGCGGCCGCCTCGCTAAGGAAGCATGCTTGGAATATACTAGAGATATTTAGAAGGCTAAGCTTCTTATAGGCTAGTATATTATAATATATATATATTTTCTTATAGCCTTCTATATTCTGGTTTTTCTTTCTTTAGCTTTGAATTATCTTTATAAGAAACTTTTTATCTTGCTTTTTAAGCCTTAAATACTATATTTATAATAATATTTAAAGTTTATTTCTTTTAATTTTATAACGGATTTCAAATAAATTAATTTAGAACTATTAGAAATAAAGGTATTACTAAAATAATAAAACCTGAGAAATATAAGTAATAAGCTCTATTTATTTAACCGGACTTATCTAGTTCTTACTTAATATACTTATTAGATAAGAAAGAATAGTATATAAAAACTAGTAATATATAAATTTTTCTCTATTTTCTTACTATTAACTTTTTAATTTACTAAAATACTATCCAAAGTAGAGACTATTAAAAAGCGAATTACTAGGGTTTCTAAGACTATAGATCGAGATTCTAGACTTAAAGAAATAAAGGCTATAGCCTATTTTAGGGCCTTATATAATTAATTAATAGCCCGGTAAAAGAGTTATTCTATAAATAATTCTAGAAATAAATATATAAAAAACTCTCTATATTATAAGATAAGTCTTTAAGAAATTATTTCTTAATACTTTATATTTCCGAATAAAGTTCTAATCTAGAAGTAATTTAAATAAGTACCTCTAAGCTAGTTTATTATAATACTAGTAATATTAATTCCTTTATATTTTATAGATAAATAAAAGCTTAAATTACTTATAATTACAAGTTCCTAAAACAAATTCGAGAGAAACTAATATCTATAAAATATCTAAATATATATATTATAAAGAATATTAAAGAGTATTTTATTAGTTTTAATAAATATAAGAGAAAATAAAGCATTTATATAGAGGATATATCTAATTTTAATAAGAATAGCTTCTAAATTAGAATAATAATAGGAAATATAAAATATATATTACTAGATTATAAAGTAATATATAATACTAATTTAGATAATCGAGAATTAGTTATAGTTATAGTTATAGTTAATTATAATAAAAGAAAGATTTCTATATATATTATTTTTAAGGAAATATATTATTTTTATAAATACTTTCTATAAATACCTAATAATAGTATTAAATTATATATTTTCTTACTAGTTTTATAAATAATTACCTGAATTTATAATATCTCAAGTATTTTATTAAATATTATTTTCCTTTATAAACGGGTATTTATAAAATCTTAATTTTTAATAAATATAGTTCTTATTTATCTAATGAATTTTTATGTTTTTATTAAAAGATTTATATTTAATTTTTTAGATTACTTATATATATAATTTACTTTTTTTAATTATTTAATATTATTATTTTCTAATCTTTAAAATACTAGTTTTAAAAGAAGCTTTATTGCGAGATTTTTAATAATATAGAGAAGTTTAATAAAATAGACTTCTTTGCGATTTTCTAAAGATTTCAAAATAGGGTTTTTAAAAGCTAGTATATTATAATTTCTTTTTTTAAGAAAACTGAATTAATATCTCTTAATTCGTTTAGAGTTCTATAAAAAATAAAGAAATATAAAAAGTTTTTAAAATGTTTATAAACTCTAATTTCTCTTTTATAATACTCTTTATTATTTTTTAATTTTTTTTAGTTTTACTATTTGATTATTCTATATTTCTATTTATAAAAACTAGATAAATTAGCTTATATTATTAAAAATTATATAATATAATTAATAAATAATATATCTATTATTTCTTTAATTTTATTTAGTACTTTTGCTAGATAAAAAAATACTAGATCTGAGCTTTATAAAAAAGAAGTATTTAGCTAGAAAAGAAGAAGCTAGTAAGATTATTTAGAAATATAAAGAAATTACTATAAAATAAAAGAAAAAGAATATTAAAATAAATAATAAGAATAAAGCTCGGGTAATTAATATAAAATATATTAGGCTAAATAAGCCTTAGAGAAATAAATATAAAAAAATAATATAAAGATTTAAAGCTAATTACTAAAATATAATTAATTAGAAAATAAAGGCTACTAATTATAATTTATAAAAAAATAGAAGTTATAATAAACTAAAACTCTATAGTTCTATATATATAATAAAAAAATTATATATTATTAGTTTTTATATATTACCTTCTTTTATTTAGTAAATATACTAAATAAGAATTAGATAAATCTAGTTAAATAAATAAAATAATAAAAGTAAAAAGCTTTAGAATTTTTAGAGAAATTATTATATTATAATATAATTAGATTCTTTAAAGAAGAAAGATATAGTATAAATAACTAGAGCTAAATATAATATATATAATATATAATACTATTTATATATAGTTAGTAAAGTTATTATTATTTAGAAATAAGAATTATAATATTATAATATTAATATATAATCCCTAAATTTACTAAGCCTAAAAGGATCTAGTTTACTAGTTAAGTTACTAATAGAATATAAGATTATATAACTATATCCTATATCCTATATTCTATTACTTATATTCTATTACTTATATTCTATTACTTATATTCTATATTCTATATTCTATAACTATATATATAACTTTTAAAGAAATAGCTATATTAATACTAGAAATTCTTTAAAAAAAAATGCGAAAAATAATATCTCTTTCTAATTATATATAAATTCTCTAATCCGGTCTAGTACTAGATTCCCAAATACTCTATATATCTATATTACTTCTATTTCTATAATATTCTTCTATTCTATATATCTATTTTCTATTCTATTTATATTTAATCTATTTCTTTATATCTAATTATATAGTATTTATATTAATTAGGTACTTGAAAGTATTTATTAGCTTTAATTTTATTATAGAATTAGTAGAATTTGATTTTCCCTTAATTTATTTAACTTCTATAATCTCTTATTATTCTTATATCTAATAGAAATATATTATATTAATTATTAGATACTTTTCTCTAGTAGTTCCTAATTTAATAAGGCATTTATATAATAACTTCGAATCTATATAGATTACTAGTAATAGTTCTATTTCTAGTATTTTATTAATTATAGATTTAACTAAAGTACCTATATTAAAGCTATAAGCTATACTATAAAGTTCCGAAACTAGAATACTTCTAGTAATTCTCTTATATTTAGTAGAGAACTAGTAGATAATATTAGTATATCTAGTTTTGTTTACTAAAACTAGAATATATCCGATTTGGGAAAAGAGATCTCTATTATTTATAAATAAAGTATTTATAAAAATAATTAAGTATAAAAACTTCTTTATTAGCTTTATAAATCTTAGTTCTCTAATAGTATTCTCAATTTGCTATTAAATATACTTATTAAGTCCCTTTATATTAGTTTCCGAAAGTTTAATAGCTTAAATAGTAATTAATAGATTATATAAAGCTTCTAATTAATAGACTAATATAATATATACTTCTCTAGTATATTAGGTAATATATTAGTTTTTAATAAAGAAATCTTAGT